GGGGGGGGGACAGACCCCCCGCTCACCCTCCATGTCCGTCTCCATGTCCTCGCCCTCGGGGGCTGCCGTGGCCGGGGGTCTCTGCACCTTTGGCTTGATGACAAAGGGACACTCCCGACGGCACAGATCGACCTCGTGCTGGGGGGGGACACTCAGGGGTCCAGAACACCCCCAAAAACACCCGGGGGGACCCCCAAAACAACCCCAGGGAAATGAAGAACGACCCAGGCAAACCCACCCCAGAAAGATCCTGGGGGGGGATCCAAAATCACCAGAGCTGTTCAGAAAAACCCAAGTGAGACCCCAAAACAACCCCAGGAGACCCCAGAACCACCTCAGGGGTCCCCAAAGCTGGGCCAGCGTGACTCCAACCCCTCCCGGGTGTCCCCAAAGTCGGGGTAGGGTGACCCCAACCCCTCCCCAAGGGACTCCAGAACCCCCCCGAGCCGTGCTGGGGGTCCCCAGGCCCCACCTCGAGGCGGTAGATGAAGATGGAGAGGCCGCTGTGGGCCTGGAACGCCGCCATGTCCAGGTTGGTGATGAGATCCACCACCCGCACCGCCCGCGTCACAAACGTGATCTGGTCCTGCTCGTCCCCCAGGAACTTAATCACCTTCGAGGGAGGAGGGACAAAAAGAGCCTCAGGGGGGTCCTTAAACGGGGTCAAACCCCCCCAGAAGGGAGCAGAGCCCACCTTGAGCAGCGCCTCCATCATCCCACACGACACCAGCGCCTCCCCGCCCGCGTCGTAACTGGCCAGGTGGTAGAGGAAGGAGAACAGGGCCGTGGCGAACTGGTGGGGGTAGGGCTCCATGGAGGGGTCTGGGGGGCACAGGGGGGGTGTCAGGGCGGGTCAGCCCCCCCCCGGGCCCCCCAAAGCCCCCAGACCCACCGATCATGGCCTGGATGCAGTTGCGGACCAGCACGGGCAGGAAGCCGTGGTAGGAGGCGGTGCCGGTGCAGTCGATGATGCTGCTCAGCTTGGGGGTCCTCTCCAGGTGCACGATGGACGTGAGGGTCCGCAGGGACGCTGCCTTGATGTCCTGGGGGGGGGACAGGAGGGTCAGGGGGGCGTCTGGGGGGGTCTGGGGAGTCCCAGAGAACGTTTGGGAAATCCTCTCCAGGTGAACTATGAACATGAAGGGCTGCAGCAATGCTGCCCTGGTGTCCCAGTGAGGGGTATAAAGGAATCAGGGGGGTCTCTGGGAGGGTTCCAGAGGGGGTTTGGGGGGTCCTGGTAAGAAAAAAAGGGGTCAGGAGAGTGTTTGTAGGAGTTTGGGGGGTCCTGGAAGAGATTTGAGAAGTCCCAAGTATGTTTTTGGGGTGTCTCACCATGAGCTGTTTGTCCAGGATGTGCAGGGTGTGGGGGGGGGG